CTGCTGGCTTTCCAAATAAAGTTGCTATTCCTTGCTCCAATAACTTGTCTCGATTTATTGGCCTGTTGAGCGGTAAGCAGTTTGAGCCAGGATGCAGTAACATACTGTTGGCCCTGTTAGGTAAAAGCCAGCTGCTTCTGGTGGTTTTTATGAGTAAGTATAGAAGACAGCATTATCCATGTCAGTAGCTTTATACCAAGTGCCAGATGCTGTGTTGATTTGTTTCAGTAAAAACACTGCACCTGGGGACAGTGGCCACAATTAGAATTACCGCCTGGTTAAGTTTATAATAGTCCACAGTCATTTTTCAAGATCCACTTTTGCACTGGCCAAACTGGTGAGTTAAATGAGAATATGATAGGTATCAGCACCCCTGCTTTTTTTCAAGTCTTTTATGATGACATTGTAACAGGGGAGAACAAATGTGACTCCACATTTGATCTATTTCTTTTACTTTAAACATTTGTATTCTACTGCTTTTGCTACAAGTTAATCACTTAAGGGATGTTGCCTATAGCTTAAAGTATGCATAAGGGCCCATCTCTGGGAACCCAGCCTCCCATGCCAGAACTTACGCTTAAATACCTTTGTTTAGCTCACAGGAAACATCCTGACCAGGCCCACCTGTAAATGGCTGCAGCAAAGAAGAAATTTAACACATCCCCTCCAGAGTCTGCTGAAACCCAGAAATATTTGCAAAAACTTACCAGCTTTTTTTTCTCTACCTCCTCAGCTCCTCCTCTTTGCTCTATAAAAGAAACTAGCATCCAAACCCAGGCAAGATAGTTCACTGGGACACCAGTCCACCATCTTCTTGGTCTGCTGGCTTTCTGAGTAAAGTCACTATTCCTTGTCCCAACATACCGTCTCTTGATTCACTGGCCTGTCATGCGGCGAGCAGCATGAGCTTGTACCCAGTAACATTAATTGCTTTACTATCTTGGAAGAGAGTGAGATTTCTAGGCACATCCACTTAGCTCTTCCTATTATAATGGACTTCATCCTGTGGATAAGTAAGCCAAAATGGGGATATGCTCAGTTCTAGAACTGAGAAAATAATCACACAGTTGGTGTGTGGATCAAGTGACCTACCAACCAACTGTGAGCTGGATATGAGCTAAGACTTCATCTATCTACTGACCAAGATAAACTCCAGCTTTGGTTGAAGCATCACAGTGGTGTTTTGAGTCCCTAGGAATTAGCATCAGTTCAGATCTGATGTCTAGAAAACCTCAAAAGATCTCCATATATCCTTTTCTCCAATGTACTGCCACTCTAGTATATAGCCACACATTTTGGGGGGACAAGGTTGAGGGAACATTTACAACGTGCACTGTGGCAGTGGTGCAAGGTAATTCCTAAAGAGTACACAGACTCTCCTTCAATCAAGGGGTTCTGGGTCTGTGAATTGATATAGGTCTAAAAACTAAGAGTCCACTGTGGTGACTCAGGTCAGATACTGGCTACCTGATTTAGAGCTTTTCTTGTTAATAAATATCTAGTACTCTATTAGGTTGCCTATCTATTTTTTTCCTAGGGCATCTCTGTGGGCCAAGGCACTCTGATTGCCTGTACACACCTGTTGCCCTTTCATAAGGCAGATGTACCCACATTACCTTTGGTGGTCTGTGCTATTTTGGGATCCTGTCATCCCCATTGTTATCAGTGAGTGCACCTCAATAGTGGCATCCTCTATAGTCATACATGGCCTACAGAGGGAAACATCCACAGAGATTTTCAAAGATGCATGTCTTCCTCTCACTAATGTATTTCTCAATTCTTCATTGAAGGAGCATCTTCTGGGCCTTTGCATGGAACACAGCTGGGGGATGTGCAGGCAGATTACATATGATAAGTCCAGTGTAACATTTCCGTACACTTTTGGATTCCCTGTTCCACATCATGTCAGGGAAGCTCCGGCATTTCAACCTCACAAACTCTAGGCAGCTGATGAGTCCAAGTTTCCATCAGCCAACCAAGTAAGCTCTAGCTGCATGAGCTAACACATATAATGAACACCATAACAATAAATTTGGCTCAGTATAGTATTACATTCCATCCTCCATGGTCTAACACCCTCAGAATCCACTCCCACATGTTCTCCAGGTTTCTGCCTATGTATTATCAAAGTCTTGTAGTTACTTTGGTGTGTAAGTTACTACTTCCTCCATCATAGTGTGCACCTATACCCCAGGAGCATGCTGAAATTTGATCCTAGTTGTGAGTGCACTGTAGTAGAGGGTGATTATGGTGGGTTTTGAGGAGAATGTGAATTTCCTCTCAAGGCATCTGCCCCAGGTGAGCTTTAAAGCAGAGGAAGCCTACCTCTTCAGAAAATGGAGGGCAACCTACTTCCACTAGTAAGAGAGGCTCAGAGTGACTTGGGGGTTCAAGACTGTCAGTTTCCTCTGGGTCTAACCCACTCCAAGTTTTGGGATCCTATTATTTTACAGCACCCTAACTTTTACATGAGAAACCTGCACATCCATGAATTCAACAGAAGTTGTAATTCAGTAACGTGAAAATTAAAATTTTGTTTTGATTTTCAGCAATATCATTTTGTTGCTACAATCAATAAGAGCTTCCTTTAGAATTGTATGGAGTCTGTCTCTCTGGTTCTCATACCATAACTTAGAACTGTGCTTGTCATTTCTCTTTTTAAGCATTCAAGGTGTGGGTGGTGGTGGTGGTGGTGGTGGGATGAATTGGGAGATTGGGATTGACATATATACACTAATACGTATAAAACAGATAACTAATAAGAACCTGCTGTATAAAAAATAAACTACAATTAAAAAAAAATACTAGGGATGTGATGTACAACATGATGATGATAGTTTATACTGCTGTATAATATATAGGAAAATTGTTAAGAGAGCAGGTCCTAAAAGTGCTCATTGTAAGAGAAAACTTTTTTTCTTTTTATTGTATCTATATGAGATGATGGATGAGAACTAAACTTATTGTGGTAATCATTTTATAATATATGTAAAGCAAACCATCATGCTGTATACCTTAAACTTATTCAGTGGTGTATGTCAATTATTTCTCAATAAAACTGTAAAAACTTAAAAAAAAAAAAGCATTCAAAGGAACTCAAAAGAATACACCTCACACCATAGTCCTTATAGTTACCTTACAGCCATAACAGTCCAGTGTAGCTGCCACTTGGGGCTCCAAGGAACTTGGTAGTTCACCACAATCAGCCACAGATGACTGGTTAATTGGGATGCCCCGTGTACTATGAATTATTAGCGTCTTAATTCACTTTGGCAAGGAACTCAGCACTGAGCTCAAGCCCAAAGGCCCAATCAAACCAAACTCCTAATCCTATCTTTGCAGGTCTATCTCTTGGGACTACAGATAAAGTTTAATAAAAAGAATTATTAACTATAACAGGGTTTTGGAGTAACGAGTGATTCACTAGTAAGAGAACCCTAGAGAGTATAGAAAGAGCAGCTTTAAGGAGCTAACCTTATAACTAACCCTTGGACTAGGAGATAGAGTTCGCAAAGAAGAGCTCCCCCAGCCCTTCCCAGGGCTAAGATCCAAAAATTACTGGAGAGGGCACAGCCTGGTTCACTGAATGGCAGAGAAATCACTGTGGTGCCACACCTTGTGAAAAATCGGCCCTCTGGAACTGGCTACAGATCTTGCCTCCAGGGTGCCCAGAAAGCTATTCACGAGGTAGTGTCTATCTTTAGCCCCCCTACTACAAAATCACTAGACTTGGGGACGTGGGAAGAAACCGCTGGCCCCTGAGCAGCATAGGAGCTCGGCCCTGGAGAAAGCCAGGTATGCTGCAAGAGCCTGCCTACCAATGCACCAAAACCAGGTAGCAAAATACTTTTCTTCCTGTAATGTCTCTTCAGCATCCTCTATGGACAAAGCTTCAGCCCCTGCTGGCAAAGGAAAACTTACTTTAAAAGGTCCAGATCCATTTTCACAGTGCAGTCAAAAAGGGTGAATTTGGAGTTGAGAGGCAATAAATCAATAACCGGCACAAGCAGGCTCCCCTCACAGATTTTTGTAGCCAGACGTCTACACCTGTCTGGACGGTCCTTCGGCAGGCTCCTTTCCCTCAGTTTTCCCCAGACGTCACCAAAAGCCGCGGAGGAAAAGATGAGTCTGAACAGAATTCGCAGCCCCCTTCTCCTCACCAAGTTTCCGTCCAAGGCACCCCAGGCCTGGGGACCTCAAGGACAGGAAACATGGGCAGTGAAAAGGAAGTGGGGAGAAAGCGCAGCAGAACTGGGCTGCTGGCGCCCCAGGGTCTCTCAGGGACTCAACTTGAGCAATACTGCCGCCCAGGTCACAAAAGCAGTCTGAGGTCTTCCCACCGCTGGAGGCTCCGGGAGGCCGACGCGGGGCGGGCCCTGCGAGCGGCGCGTTGTGATTGGGCGCCGGGGAGCCCGCCCCCTCATCCCGGAGCGTCGGGAGGAGGCGGGGTCGGCCGCCTGCTCAGCTCCGTGGCTGCCGGCGCGTATTGACCCAGCGGCCACTGCACCGCTGCTGTCTCCTCCTGCTCGTGGCGGGCGGTGCAGGAGCGCCGAGTGGCGCTGGAGAACCGGCGTTTCTCCGCCGCTGCCGCCGCCATCTCCGCATTTGCGGGGCGGGAGGGAGGGAGGGGACTCGCGGCTGCAGCTGGAGCGGGCTTCTCTCCGGGGAAGATTCTCTCCGGGGAAGATTCTCTCCGGGGAAGATCCTCTCCTTGCTCTCCTTTTCCTCCTCCGCGCGCCGCCGCCGCCCGCCCCCTGCGCCCTCCGAGCGCAGCCCGGGTCCAAGAGCTGAGCGAAAAGGGCGGTGGGGGGCGGGAGGCGCCGGCGGGCGGACGCGCGCTCGGAGGAAACTCCTGCCGGACCCGTGCGTCCCCGCGCCCGGGGTGCACCCCGGCCCGGCCTCAGCTGCGGCGGCGGCAGCAGGAAGGGGCTCAGTCAGGGGAGGCGGGGGCGGTGCCACGGGGGCGGGCCCGGCTGTCCCGGCGCTAAGTTGTGGGGCCCGGCTCCTCCCAACCTGATTTTTTTCCCCACGGCTACTCGGACCCAGTTCCGCGCTGCCGACCCTAGAGCCGCCGAGCCGCACCTCCTGGGTGAAGAGGACACGCCTGCCCTGGTCGAGAAAACTTTTCCTGCCGACTTGGTCGGGCGACGGTGGCAGGAAGTCCAGACAGCGACCTTTCCTCCGCCTGCTCCGCGCGCCCTGCCGGGTGCCGGCGCTGAACTCGAGATCTAGTTTGAGCGGGCCCCTTCCGGGCTGCAGGCGAGTCCCGCCTCAGGAGGGACGCCCGGCCCCAGGGAGGGCGGTCGGCCAGGGCGAAGGCCAAGGACGCGTGGTGGCGCCGGAGATAAGGTGCGGAGCGCCGCCCGGACCCGCATCCGCAGCGGAGAGCGCGGAGAGCACAAGCCCGGGAGCAGGGAGCCTCCGGCGGCCGCTTCCAGGAGTCCACAGTCCGCCTCTTCCTCCGGGTGAGGACAGTGCCCTGGCCCCGAGTCTATCGAGGAAAAATGAAGTTAAGCCGCCAGTTCACCGTGTTTGGCAGCGCTATCTTTTGTGTGGTGATCTTTTCGCTCTACCTGATGCTGGACCGGGGTCACTTAGACTACCCCAAGAGCCCGCGCCGCGAGGGCTCCTTTCCCCAGGTAAGGAACGAGGAAGTGGGGACACGGGGCTCCGAGAGGGTAGGGGTGGGGGCCCGTAGTTACCGCAGCTCCGCGACCTCTCCCTCCCGCCGAGGCTCCGCGCTCCGGCAGGGCGAGACCAAACTGGAGGAGGCTTGGATCCTCCTCCAGCCTGGGCTCCGCAGCCACCTCATTCCGGGCGCGCGGAGTTAACAAAGTACCAGGCTGCGTGCGGTGGCTGGATCGCGCTCAGGCGAAGTGGCCGTGTTTCCGCACTTCGCACCCGGGCCTGTTGGGGTGGTCACCTGCTGGCCAGTGAACCGGCGCGGCGTGAGGCGCTCCCTCGCCGGCGCAGCGCCCACTGACAGCTGTTGTTGAGCCCCTAGGCCCACACAGGGTTAAGCTGCACTTACCCTTGCGCGCACCCAGTCGCGGGAATGGATCAAACAAACCCCATCAAACAAACCCATCTGGGTGTTACATTTATTTATTTATTTAAACTGCACTGTCGCTTGAGGAAAAAAAGTTTATTCCGTATTGCAGACCTGTAAGGTATGAATCTGTGGGGTTGATTTTAGTGTCGTCATTCTTCAGCTATTACATGGGGTTTGTTTGGAGCAGATGAGGGAGCCTAGTGGGGAAGCGCTTGTTATACTCCAGCCTGTAGCTATGGGGCGCTCAGTCACGAGACAGCGGTCAAATTGTCAAACGAGTTGGGAAAACGACCCGTCTTAAGTCTTTTATCTCAAGTTACTAAAAATAAGCAAACGGAGACAATCGGTTCTATTTGGGAGGATATACCGCGTGTGCGATTTGTTTCAAGTTATTTGCAATGACCTGTTCGATCCAGAAATTTTAGTAAAACTGGGTATTGGGTAGTATCCCCTGTAATGAATGAACCGAAGAACTCAAAACGCTGACAAGCTGATTTATCAACTACTTCACTCAAGGGTTGAGAAACGTAGGACGTGAACAAGTTGGTGTTTTTTTGTTTGTTTGTTTTTCTTTTGTGTGACAGTGTAAATGACCAAAGAATATTCTTGCCTTTTGTTCTTGTGAAACGCTAGGACAAAAGGCTTGAGTTTAATGAAGTTAGAGTGCTAATTTTACCTGAATTATTATGAAAGTGAAAACGAGACCCCTTTTTGGATGGTGTCATCAATACAGAGCATTCAAAATGCGTTGCAGATGAGAGGTATTAAAAATCTGGTTGTAAACAGATGTATCAAAAAAATTTAAAAGCTTTTGCTTTTAGGTAGTATTATAGAGAAAATAGTTTAGAGTTTGTCCAGTGCTTGTTGATGAGATTGGATAAAACAGTTAAAAAAAGGGGCGGGAGGGAGGAAGGGTAAACCCTCTGAAGCCAGAGCAAAAGGAGGAGTTCTAAGCCTTTTAAAAATATGTTGTACAATTTTGGGGCTTAACTTACCGTGATTTTTCCCCCAGTAATCCTATTTTTTCGAATTTTCTTCATTACAGGAAAAACCATAAAAACTGATAGATTTTACTTAAAGTGTTATCTTGAGTAATGTCCTTTGGCTTTGGCTTAATGAACACTTCGCAATGATTTATGCACACATCTGGGGCTGGGGTTCTCTGGCAACCTTGACATTTTACTGTTTCTAAAGAAGTGAGTGAGTCATTTGGTTACTGGGACGTCTTAGCCGAAGTTAATTCCAATATTTTTATATCCAGCCCTAGTCCTTGTCAAGGGGCTGAAGTTCTGCTTACAACATAAAGCATTTAATGGAAAGTGACAGTGGCTGCTGGAAGAGAAGGCCCTGTGTGCATTCTGTTTTGTGTGCAAGGGGAGAGGGTTTGGAAGGTGGAACTTTTTATATTTAAGTTTGCCTTTCTCAGATTTTCAGTACTGGCTTTTCGGTGCAAAAGGCACCTTTGCTGATGTAGTTTTGGAGAGCCACTGAATCCCCACATAGGTGGACTGGATAAATGCTGTATAAGCCTAACTCTTGTATGTCTGATATCAGCCTGTGTGTCTTAGTCTTACATGGTAAACTGCATTCACACAATCACCACCTAGTAGGTGAGGAAACTTAGGCACAGAGAGAGTAACTTGCCCAGAGTCACACAGCTAAAAGCTGAGATTTCAACAGGCAGCCTTTGGAGTCTTGAGCTCTCAGCCATTATGCTGTACTGCCCCCTTTAGTAATCCTTTGCCGACTGTTTAGTCCCCCAACTTGCTTGTGGAAAATAGAGCATTATGCTCTGCAGCACCTTAGCTTATGACTTTTTATTTTTAAAGGAGTTTTTATTATGAAGCCCTAATGAATGTGCTTCTTTTTTTTTTAAGCCTTTTTAAAAAAAATTGAGTGTTTGATTTTGAGATAATTGTAGATTCACATGCATGTATAAGTAATAATACAGAGATCACATGTATCCTTTACCAGTTTCCCCCAGTGGTACCATCTTGCAAAACTGTAATAGAGTATCACACCTTGGATATTTATATATTGATACAGTCAATATGCAGAATATTTCCATCACCACAAGGACCCCTTACATTGCCCTTTTATAGCCACAACCATTTTTCTCCTGTCCCTGTTCCCTTCTAGCCCCTGGCAATTACTCACCTGTTCTCAATTTCTGTAATTTTGTCGTTTCAAGAATGACAAGTGAAATCATGTAATGTGCAACCTTTGGGGATTGGCTTTTTTCACTCAGTCTAAATCTCTGGAGAGGCATCCAGGTTGTTACATGTTTGTTCCTTATTATTTTTTGCTGATGTTATTATCTTTTCATTTTTCTTTTGTTCCTTATTATTGCTGAGTAGTATTCCATAGATAGAGCACAGTTTGTTTAACCATTCACCCATTGAAGGACATCTGGGTAGTTTCCAACTTGGGGCAGTTTATTTCAAATAAAACTGCTATGAACATTATAAACATTCACATAAGCCCTCATTTCTCTGAAAAATGACCAGGAGTACAATTGCTGGGTCATAGGGTACAGGCATACCTCAGAGATATTGCAGGTTCAGTTCCAGACCACCGAATGTGCTCCTTTTTATGAAACGTTTAATGCTTGAGATTTATATCTCTCCCAGAATGTCTTCTAGCTCACTTGAGAGCTAAACATTATAATGAAAACCATTATGCAGCATAGCATCCTAGCATTTGAGTTGATTTTTATTTTTTCACTACTCCTAACTCTTATGTAAATCTTAATCTGATGAGAACACCAAGCATAGCAAAGCTACGTTGCACTAAATTTTATTTCTTTGATGAGTTTGGTTATTGAATTCCTTAGTTTTAATAGAGACAAACTAGTCAGTCACTATAAATCATATTTGGTGTCTAGTAGAATGATTTCTCTAGAAAGGGATTGATTTCCTCTGAATTGTCCATTTTAGTTCCTTCCAGTTAACATGGAACCTTTCATGGTCCATCATGTAAACAAGGTATGTTTTAAAACCGTCTTCAGTTGAGAGCAGTCTATTTGCTGTTATTCTGGCTTTCTTTCTTTTTGCCTCCTCCCCAAGTGTGTTTTCCACCACTTGGCCAGACTCTGGGGTGGAAGTGGGCCCAACTCTGGGTGCTCTACGTTCTCCCACCCTGGAGCAGCTGCCTGCCTCTGAGATAGTCCTTGGAAGGCTTTCCCCTGTGCTTCTGGGAGGAATTCCTTTGAGGCCTTGAGGCAACAGGTGGCTTTGTCTGTTTTAGCTTGTGTGTATTTTAGGGTTAATAAATCTCAGCTAGAAAAATTAATAAAAATTCCACTGTGAATGAGAGGCTGGCCAGGGCCTAATGCCATGAAGATGCTTTGAGGTAATGTAAGAATTCGAGCACATGGAAAGGAGAAACATTAAGGTCTTCCTGAAATTCTTCATCACTTTCTACAAGCGATTTCACAAGTTGCTTACTATCTACTTTGTGTATATGAGGATGGCTTATTAATGTCTTATGTTTGAATCTGCAGAATTAATGACTCAGGTTTTGTATAACAAATGATCGATCTTTAAATAACTAGTATAGCATATGGTCATAGCGATTCATATTAACCCTTGAAAGTTCAGAGATCGGGACTGATGGAGAATGTGAAAGTGAAGTTCAGATTTTATCTTGGTGCCCAGAAAACATTTATCAAGTGAGAAAGTGTGAATGTCTTTAAGTAATTGATTGAAAGACGTTGGTAGGTGGGGACTTTTATGTCTTTTTTTTTTTTAACTTTCACTGTGAAAATATAATACACATATAAAAACATGCTTAAACATTTTACATCTCTAGTACTTTCTTAAGCGTTCAACACAGTATATGTTTAATTAAAGTTGACCTCAGTCCCCCAGTTGTTTTTTCTTGCTTTTAGAAATCTGTGAATCTTAAGAATAATAAATAGAAAAATACGATTTTTCCTGCTTCTCCACACTCCAGTGCACTCTACTTATAAACAATTGCTCTTGTTGGGGTTTGTGCAGGTGTGTAGAAGGAAGTTTGTTTCATTCCTTGGGGTACACTGTTTGAGAGCTGTGACTTTTGGGAAGTGATGGAACTTTGACCTTGACCGTGGTGACAACCAGGGATTTAGGAGAAATGAGTGCAGGAACATGAAAGCCCCTGAAAAGGGCTGGTTTCCTCCAACCCCTCCAGAGTAGAGTCCAGCAGTCCTTCAGGACTCCTCCTGCCAGCATGTTTCTCTAAGACTCAAGAGTCTTCCTATACACGAACTAGGACAGACAGTCATGACTGCATCTGGTCTGAAGGCTTAAGTTTATTATTTTTTAAATTGAATTGAATGTGTTATTCACAGATCAGCACTGCTGTCAGGACCTAAACAAATACTTTTGCTTGGGAGATGTTGTAGTCCTGTTTATCTGAAGGGGATTTTCTCTGTGACTCATTAATTAGCATTAAAGGATATCTGGGCTGTGGGCAAAACATTGACTAAAATTACCACTTTTATTTGTTGTTTTTTATTTTGAGTCAGCTATTGCTTTTGGTGATAGCTGTTAAAACTTTGGCCTTTTTTGACAGACTGGACTAAGTGTTGAGATTGTCCTAGAAAGA